ATGAAAAGGTTCCGAAACTGTTTTCTTGTGGCATGTTTAAGTTAAATATTATTTTTTAACGTTTCGACTTCCAATCCGAAATCGTTTTCCAAAATAGTATTTCTTGGTAGCGATTTCTGGATTGGAAATTAAAACGTCAAAACAAATGTAAAATGTAATTCTCATTACAATCAATTGTTGTTTTAATCCTATATAAAAATAATTATTATTAGTTATGCATTTCATGCCTTTATTGTCACTTCGTGAACTCGGCATTGTTTGGTTCTGGGGTCTTTTTTTAATTATTTGTATTGACTTTTCAATTTCATAATTTTTATTGGAAAATTAGAAGCGTATTCGAAATTGACTATTTGCTTGGATCTACTGTCATCAACAAGCTGTTCAGTTGAGTTTACCGAAAGTACAAGCTGAATATAGCCGCAAATAGCCAAAAATATTTCGGTTTAGCAGTGTTGGCATGTTTGTATAATGCATATGTTGTATGCTTCAAATGTATAGAGGTAAATCTTTTAAAAAGTACATTTTTATTATACTATTTTATGAATTCTGCAATTTTTAATTTATATCAAGCAATAACGAGTAGATATTTGTCTCTTTCGAGATTAATTGCAAACATCTTTTGTAATCTGGCAACTGCTGATTTGATGATTGCCAAATCTATCCCCTAATCTATCAATGGGTAATTGCTAAAAAATCTAATAATTAACAGCAATTAATCTCGAAACAAATAAATATTTATTCATTGTTGTTTTATATAAATCAAAAATTGCAGAATTCATAACATAATATAAATAATATGTACTTTTCTAAAGCTTTATCTTTTTATATTTGAAGTATACAGCATCTACATTATAAAAACATGCCAACACTGCTATACCGAAATTTTTTTGTTCCATGTTTGACATTTGCGGCTATAATCAGCTTGTACTTTCGGTAAACTCAACCAGCTATTCTATCTACGTCTCCATATTCTGTTTTGTTTGTACTATTCGCTGTGAGCCGATGAGTAGAGGGGATTTGACGGTTTTCACCAACGTTGTTAGTGGCAGTTTTGTGCATTTAACTTGTAAACATTCAAATAATGGCGAATATGGATTTTTCAAAAAGAAAAAGATATTATACATGTAAAAATACTGGGTATAACAGTGATTGTAAATTTTATTTATTTCAAAGGGAAAAATGGATTATTGCTATCAATAAGAAAAATAAGTAAATAACCTATAATACAAACATGATATTTCTATGGTGTAAAATAAAAAAGCTATTATATTGCGAAACATTGCGTACATGCCCTGCATCAACTAAATCTTTCCTCTTTTTTGGTTTAGGTGGTTGAAATGGGATATCATGTGATATAGACTTAAAACCAGTATAATGTTTAATATCCATTTTGATGAAATTAATAAAAATTGATATCTAAGCACTAAGGACTACGCACACAAAAAATAACTGATCAAAAACAGAATGAAAATGCAAAATGAAAACAAGAATTACAATGTTGCAGAGGTAAAGGCATCGAGCAAAAAGACAAAAGAGGGGAATCTAATCGTTATGAAAAGGAGACCAAAAAAGTGGTCTCTAATGACGGACATATCCGGAAATGCGAATGCGCCAAATTTAAATTTTCCCAAATACACACATTAATACTAGCTATAAATAGTTTTCAGAATGTGTCTTAGACGAGAAACTTTAAATAAATATTACCGACAACAGTCTAAAATGTGACACAATTGTAAATAAGCTTTCATGTGACAGTTGGGACAAACAATAACATAACCCAACTAAATTTGATTTATTAAACAAGGAAAGACTCTCTTTCCTCGTTTAATTTGGCCTCTCAAGATGGCACTTCTTGTCTAACAATATTTTTGCCCCCACTGCCTTTACATTCCCTCTTTTGTCTTTTTGCTCGATGGGTAATCTTACATATCTCTGGTAAAGGCACAGAATAATAAACAATCAGAATGCCCACTCTCCATGGAAAATTAAGTACGCGCAGACGTTCCGCTATGTTTTAAAGGGAACCAGTGTTGTTTATGTAGTGTGCATAGAAAAATTAACCCGGTTTAATTGACTTACGGCAATCATAGACATACTATACAATTATATTAACATTGTTAAATATAATAACATAAAATATAATAATATACTTAAACATAAATATAAACAATTATATAACCTCACAAATCATATGTCTGTTATGTGTTTCCTTCTAAAACATGGCGCGCGTGCTGAAAAACTTTAAAGGCGGCATCTGAGACTGGGCATTCTGATTGTTTATTATTCTGTGGTAAAGGCACAGAATAATAAACAATCAGAAGGGCCACTCTCAGATGCCGCCTTTGAAGTTTTTCAGCACGCGCACCATGTTTTAGGAGGACACAGACATATGATTTGTGGTGGTTATGTAATTGTTTATATTTATGTTTAATTATATTATACTTATGTTATTATATTTAACAATGTTAATATAATTGTATAGTATGTCTATGATTGCCGTAAGTCAAATAAACCTGGTTAATTTTTCCATGCACACCACATAAACAACACTAATTTCTTTAAAATCCTCCAAAAACATGGCGGAACGTCTGCGCGGAGGAGATGCGTGTACTTAATTTTCCGTGGAGAGTGGGTATTCTGTTTGTTTATTATTCTGTGGTAAAGGTAACCATTAACCATTAAATAATTTCACATAAACTTCTTCTTTTTGTCAATGGCCTCTTGCGTAAGTAGTCATCCAGTTGCAGGAACTTATATCTTAAATATTATAATTAAAATGAATAAAATAAAAAGGAGTAATTACTTTTACTATTAATTCTGTGTATTCGTTCAGTAATCAGTTTACAATAATATTTGAGTTCATAATTTTGTATTTTTAGATAAATATCTATTTTTCTCGTTTTGTCATATTTAACACCGACTTTACAAGAAAAGTACAAATTTCAAACCGCGAGAGAGCGCTACCGGCGAAACTCACAGCGAATAGGTAATATATGCAAATGGCTCATAGGAAGATCTAACCTAACAAGATCTAACCTCGCGCATGTGGCGCGTGCCGACTGTATCCGAAGTGGGTGGTGAACAGTGGCGTAATTATGATTTTTATACAATTAACGGCAATGAACGGTTAACTGATTAGGGCTACTGACAGTGTGGATTATTGTGTAACAAGGCGCTCGGATCGAATCGGTACGAAAGTAAGAATTTGCGCTGGTTCTTCGTAACTAGAGCCTACTTGTACTGGACGCTAGTTTTACCTTTCTATGCGTATTAAATATGTTATATTTTTGTTCAAAAAGTTAATTTTACTCACATTGCACCTTAAATCAATTTCCATTTTCCTTTCCCGTCTTATCTCTATTTGAATTAGTGTATACTAATTTATTTTTTACTTTCCTTTTTGATTTAACTCTCGACTGATTGACTCGCTATTCTTTTAATTTCTTCATTATTTTTTTTTTTATAACTTTCTGACGTTTTATTTTTACTAATGGTATGCAATCTTATGCTTCTTCCAATACTCTTTTTTTTATATTTCAGGTAATATAGCACTTCACATTTTTTCTGAAGAAGCAAGAGCTCATTACAATTTGGAGTCCCTCTGGGCATTGGGTCACGAATTTGATGACGAATACAACAAACCGGAACCGGTGTCTGACATTTTAGAGAAACACTCAGTATATTTAAAAGATCTGCAGCCTGCGTCGTAGAACAATTTATATAAACAGTTCTTTAATCAATGATTGTGTAATTTTAAGACATCTTTGATAATTTCTGGGTTTTGACAATGCAGTGTAGCGGGAAACATTACATACGGTGAGAGTATGTGAACTACTAGCTACTAGCTTAACTTATTAATAAAACTTTGGTATATTATATTCCGTGCTTTGATTTCTATTCAAAAAAAATTCCAAATTAATGTTTGATAGACGTTGTTTGATAATGGTTTGTAAATTATTTTTCTTTGAAGGTAATGCTATGAATTCGACGTTATCTTTTACAAATACGGATTTGCCTATAGACACAAAATAAAGGTTAGTCGGTATTATCTTCTGTTAATTTAGGGAAAACCTAAGTGGGTACAACACGCTTGATTTCTTATTGAAGGTAGGTAAAAATAATGAATATTATTTCGAGCCCAGGTCGAGACTTCCAAACTCCTTGTGCCCGAAGAGACTCATTACTCCCTAAGTGAAAAAAGAAAAAATATTTAAAGTTTGTACGAGATAACCAGTCGAGGCGGGAAAACAATTTGGCTGAAAGAGTGCCAGTATTATTATTTTGCAACAAGTCGGAGGTTTAATTTGGGAGAGAATCTGAACGAGTGCTGTTTTGTTTAACGATTTTGGATTAATTACTATTTAAATGGGAAATCAAAAAGGGAAAAATCAAAGAAGCGGCTCTAATTATGCTAAATGAGACCAATTGTGTCGCAAATTCCTTCCATTCGGCAGAATGTAGTAGGATGTGGTTACCCATATTGAAAGAGGAAGTTATTAAAACGATATTACCAGTATTAGTAAGTCAGTAACATATAGAGGATACATCATTTATGTTTTTTACATAACAAACATATAAAATCAGAATTTGGTGTTTATTGAAGGTAAACTAAATGCACGACCAAATACTTACCATGTCGGGATAGTATTATGAGGTTTTTTTTCCTGGTTTCTCCCTCATAATTTACTATGGAATCACTAAAAGAAGAATTTTACTGTCATCATGGCATGTGTTTGTCTTTTTAAAGACGAATTACATGCTATGATTTTTTCTGACGGATATTCTCAAGTTAAAGTTGATTTCACGTAATCGAATGAACTATCTTATAGTAATTGCCATTTAAATGGGAATAAGCCACGATTAAAGGTTAAAATACGTTTATTGGGGTTTCAATTTACACTTCGGAAATCGTTCTCAAAATACAAACATTAGTGTTTGTATTTTTATAAAACTGTCCAAACATGTGCTTCCACCCCATGTACTGGGATTATGAAAAAATAATGGACCACACAATATTCTTTCAGGAATTGCTGTTTTCGATCTAACTACGAGACTGTAAGAAAACGATAACTAGTAATGTACTACACAAAAACAATTAACTTTATCATCTGTAGTTTTCAAATCAGTATGTAAGTGTTCAGTAATCAAAAGTAGACGTCGTCGTATCGTTTCAGAAACTATATTGTTACACACCACTAGTATTATGTGATATTTAACAGTTCAAACGGCGTGTGACACTACAGTGATAGAGTCTGTAGCATCTGCAACGTACATCCACTGTTAGTGTGTCTAGTGTTTTCTGTCTTATTTTCTGAGAACACTGTGGTCGCTGTCTTTATTTGCGACAGCAGTTTACATAAGTTTATTGTATTTGAGCATATTTTACAGATTTTTCGTTCGGTTTGTCTCGTTTTTTCCAAAGATTACGTCTAGCTCTACTCTACTATTTTGGCACTGTTTTTACCTTTACCTTTAGCTGTATTTTGGTAACTATTTTTGTATGTTCACTGTATTTTGACGACTTATGCAAATTATACTTTGTGTTTCGAAAACGAGTTTTTAAAAATTATTTTATTTTGAAAATACAAATTTACAAATTATGTAGCAAAGTTCTTAAACAAAAGTAAAGCAAAAGTCATAATTAATTGAAATGTTCCTCTATTTATAATATAGTATTGCGTAGTTTCTATTGTCCTACAATGTGCAGATTCTGTGGAATTCAGTGGCGTAACTCCTCCCTCACTGAGTCCGAAAAATAATGGAATTATTTTTGGGATGCTGGTTGGTGGAATCTTCTTCAATGCCGGAATCTTCTTGTAATTCTATTTCATTCTCGTTCCGTTGTTTTGATCTTCTTTGTTTAATAATATAAAGAATGATCAAAATTAGAATAACTGCTATGACTGAGGTGGTCACCAATGGAGTTGTATGCGAAGGAATATTTGTTTGTCTAATTGGTACTAACTGTTTGGCCATATTATTAATTGCATAAAGATTATCAAAGTCAATTTTGGTAATATTATGGCTCTGGGATTTTTGTATATTTTCTGTAGAAAAATATTTTATTTTTGGTAAAATTAGAGCTTTCCCTCTATGAATTTTGATATTGTTATTGAATTTCAATTGGTTTATCACTTCACAATTTTCTGGTATACTGATGAGAGATGGACTGTGTACTTCGAAAATTTGGTCTCTCTTGCACTTTGATTGGACTCGTTCTGATGTCGATGGCGTTGTCAATACTTCATTATTAGTTACTTGTTCGATAATGGATTCTTGAAGAGTGACTTCTGTGGTAAAACATTGGGATGAATTTTGACCATTGAGGAAACGCAAGGTGCAATTGTCTTGTAGTATGGTATCTTCTTTACAATAATATGTTTCTTCTAAAATGGGACATTCTTCTTTTTGTAGGTGCGTTTCGTCAGAGATTCGTGCCAAATAAGGATATGTGGGAGTGAACATCTTGTTCTTTTGAATTATTGGGTAAATATGAGTTTATATAACTTAATATAACTTTATATAAAGTTTTTTATATAAAGATATTTGTAAGTTCGTCTCATGAATAATTTGTTTCTGATTGTTTTCTAGTACTTCTATTGCTTTATCATATCTATCTCCGTCTTCTGAATTTAATTTTCAAATAAATATTTATTTACTTTACCTAGGCCATCAATTAAGCCTCTTTTTGATCGAATATGGGGATAGATGTTTTCTAATTGTTTCTCTAATGTATTAATTAAAATTTCTGTTCTTTCTAACATGTTTTCCATGATATGAAATAGGATTTGAGGCATTAACTTTCACTACAGTAGTTTTTATTATTTGAAAATTAACTTTCACTTTATTCATTAACTTTAAGAGATTCTACTTGTCTAACTATTTCTTTTAAGTTTATATAATGGATAAATGTATGTTTACTATAAATTAATCTACATGTGCCTAATTTAATCGGAAGTTAAAGGTTTTCAAGAGGTGTTATATTAATATCGGTGTCACCTCTAATCTGGTGGGATGTCTGGTATATTATCATCTGTATCAGGGTCAAGACGATTATTGTCTTCATTTTGTTGAACCTGCAAATAATTTCTTTTATTAGATCTGGGTTTGCGAACTGTGCTTTTATAATACAATCCCTTATCTGTTTCCAACAACAAACCACGATCGTTGACAATAGTTGTTTGTTTAAACTTAGGAAGTGCTTTATTGCGATTTCCACTCTTAATATAAGCTTTGTTCTCATTTGTATAGTCGTGTGGATCTGACCTTGTTAAATTGCGTTTTTCGATCTATTTATATTTTACTTACTTTTCCATATAATATTTTGCAAGTTTCTTTATGGTTTTGCACATATTGTGATAAAATTAAATGATCATTATTGTCGAATGGGTCTGGATTATTTAGGTATATGCCCTTTAATAATTTCAAATGGCGTAAATTTAGTAACAGAATGAATTGAATTATTATATGATAATATGCAATGTTTCATTAATTGTTCTACTGACATATATTTATTTGTTTCCCGCAGGCATCTAAAATGTTCTATTAAGGAAGAATGAAAACGTTCTACCGGAGAATTCGAATTGCTGTTCTTAGGAGTAGTAAAATGGAATTCTATTTTATGTAATTTACAAAAATCTTCTAGGTCATAATTTTTGAATTCAGTACCGAGTAATTGAATTTTGAATAGGGTAATCCATGATGTGTGCTATAGTTTAACAAATCGTCGACTATTGAAATTCTACTAATACTAGGAATTTGATATGCTTGTCCGTATCGAGAAAATGCATTAATTATTGTAAAAAATGGTGTATTGGATATTCTTAATACATCCATATGAATATCATTAAATGGCTTAGAAGCCATTGGTGTAAGATTAAATTTAATGACTGGTGGGTCTCTATCATATTTGTTTATTAAACAAACTTGACAATTGTTGACATATTGAGCCAGTAGTATCGTGAACCCATTGACATTTTTAGCTCATTTATACCACGATGTCTTTTTTGTAAACATGATAATAGTTCAGTTTTTCTTTTTATTCGTCGGTAGTCTCAATATCATCTAATATTTTTGTACAGTGCACAAATTTCAATGCAGACTTTTTGAAATAATTTTGCAATGCAACTACAAATGTTTCAGGTGATAGTGGTGGTCTAAAATACAAGACATATAATTTTCTTAGGTCTATATAATCTTTAACAAAATTTATGATTCCTTTTTGCAGATCTCTTTGAGGTAAGATAACAAATAGTCTTGTGTTGTCAAATATCTTTTGTGTTTTAATTTTTATTTCATTAATTTGTCCATAAGTTAATAATATTTGAATAATTGATGGATTCGACCGTTACTTGATGGAAATTAATATGTATATTTATGTAACAATAAAACACTGAAAACTTTGTTTTCAAACTTCCACAAAATTTCTTTTAACTATTATCACTACAGCTGTTTCGGCTGATAGCCTTTCTCAAGTGATCTATTTTTGGTTTGGGTTTACAAATTTATAGTCTCTAATGAAATAGGTTGAGGAGGGGAGAACTGTTTGTCTCAAGTTGGTCATTCAGAATTATATCTGTGTTTTTTAATTTGTTGATTTCCATAGATTCTAACAAAGATAGCTTAAGGCCTTTATTTTGAATGTGAAGAATTTTAAATTTGTCTTGAAGAATTTTTAAGGATATCTATAAGATCTACAATGTAAAGGAACTTCGTCTGTAGTTTTTATGGTGTGTCTGATATTGGAAGTAAATGTCAAGAGATCTCCTGTTTTTAGGAATATATCTGAAAATTCTCTACATAGCTTAATTGTTTTTCTCTTTCTTCTGAATTCATGTGGTCTGTCCTTATAAGGTTTCCTAAGTCTATTTTATTT